ATTTCTTTTCTTGATTTATATCAACGGACTTACTACTTTTCGCTGATGTGAAACCTTAGAGAGAGACACGCAACCAAGAGAATACACTGGCAATTCAGGATCATCTGACTAGACTTCAAAGCTGGGCAGATGGCACCGGACTTACCTTTAACAATTCAGTGTAAAATGGTCCATCTGAAACATGTTGCATATTACAGCTACCACTAAGGCGACGACTTGAAGTCTCACGCTAAGTATGATAAAAATGCCTTTCGAGCAAACCGTGCACTGGTAACATTGAGGCGCATTTTTGGCCAGTTTGACAGAAGGAATTTCCACATAACCTTCAACAGTTTGATTCGTCCCCTTTTAGAGTACGGAAACATAGTATTTCCCCCTCACTCCAAAAGGATAAGGTCACTCTAGAGAGTATCCAACTTCTATTCCTTAAAAGTTGTCAAATGCTGGAATCTACTGCCAGCTAAGCTATTCCAATCGATTTTTCAGGAGTCCTTTAAGAGGAAACTTGACTAAGGATAGTATCTTACTATGATTTACCAATTTCTTTTTCTTCTTTTATGGTTGGTATACCTCGGTTCCTGCCTGGAGGTGTTTGTGATCCGTTGCTACTAGACACAGGAGCCCGTTAAGCGAAAGCTTCTTTTATTTCGTCTGCAACAATTTGAACCATTTTGAAGTTAAACATGTTTAATTACCGTTAGTGTATTTCCTTAACGAAAAATGCCGTGAAGATGTACTTTTTTCAGTCTCCCGATTTCGGTTCACGGATAAGTCAGTTGTTTTAAAACAAAACATGGAGGTTTTGAACCTGATTTGGAAGGATAAGTGGGATAAGATGACTATCAAGGCTTTCATCGAGGGTTTGTTGGTCAGTCGCTTACTCCAACACAAACGACTTCCCTGCTACTGAATTATGTCCTAGCTCTAGATTATGGAAGGGTGTGCTAACATTTTGTCAAATAACTACGTAACCTCCTTTAAGGAAGTCTTTTTGAGGTTTTGGCGGGTCCGAAACACAATAAATATGCAACTCAGATGTAACGTATCTGGCTAACTCCCATGGTTGTCTCGGCACTACTATGAGAAGCCGTGCATGTGAATCAGTTATGTCATGCTCGCGAATGTCAGCTTCTGCGTAGTCGAACCAGGCTTCGATGTTTTTGAGACTAGCATGACATGGAGTGAGGGCTTCAGGACGCCGTCGTCTTGATTTGAATGAGCCAAGAATTGCGATCCGACATTATGAAGATAAGACACGAAGTTGCAACACAAAAATACAAAAACACAGATAATTATCATAATCTGCCAAATAATCTACATATTAAACGTTACAAGAATTAAATTAATTTCATATTTCCTAGTCTACCAGATCACCTCGAGGCTTATCAGTGTGAAGGATAGGCGATACTTAGAATTTCTTAATGCTAAGACGTATGGGCTATTAACAGCTAGCTTTCCCATTCTTATGGCTTATATTCTCATCGACATAAATACATTTCACTTACTGAATATTACTAACTAGCGCCTGTTACTCCTAATGGAGCATAGGCCGCCGACCAGAATTCTCCAACCCACTCTGTCCTGAGCCTTCTTTTCTAGTTCCATTCAATTCTTTTTCATTTTTCTCATGTCTATTTCCATTTCCCGGCGTAATGTGTTCCTTGGTCTTCCTCTTTTCCTTTGACTTTGAGGATTCCATGTGAGGGCTTGTCTTGTGACGCAGTTGGGTGCTTTCCTCAATGTGTTTCCTATCCACTTCCTGCGCTTCTTCCTGATTTCTTCCTCCGCTGGGATCTGGTTTGTTCTCTCCCACAGTAGTTTGTTGCTAATAGTGTCTGGCCAACAGATCCGAAGACTATTGCGTAGACAACTGTTAATAAACACCTGTATTTTCTGGATGATGGCTTTCGTAGTCCTCCAGGTCTCCACCCCATACAGTAGAACTGTCCTGACATTTGTATTGAAAATCCTGACCTTTGTGTTGGTTGACAGTTACTTTGAGTTCCAGATGTTGCTCAGTTGTAAATATGTTGCTCTTGCTTTGCCGATCCGTGCCTTCACATCTGCATCAGATCCACCGTGTTCATCAATAATGCTGCCCAAATATGTAAAGGTTTTTACATCTTCCAAATCATCTCCGTCAATTTTGGTTGGATTGGTGCATGCTGTGTTGTATCGGAGAATCTTGCTTTTCCCTTTGTGTATATTGAGACCTACTGCTGCTGAGGCTGCATTTGTTGTTGCGTTTGGGATAGAAGGGCCAGATCGTCTGCGAAGTCTAGATCGTTCAACTGCATCCTAGATGTTCATTGTATCCCATGTTTCCCTTCAGATGTTGATGTCTTCATGATCCAGTCGATCACCAGGAGAAAGAGAAAGGGTGAGAGTAAGCAACTTTGCCTGACACCGGTCTTTATTTCGAACGACTCTGTCAACTGTCCTCCATGCACGATTTTGCAGTGTAATCCATCATATGAATTCTGTATGATATTGACTATCTTCTGAGGTACGCCGTAGTGTCGAAGAAGCTTCCATATTGTTGTTCTGTCCACGCTATCAAATGCTTTTTCGTAGTCAATGAAGTTGGTGTAGAGTGATGGATTCCATTCAATTGATTGTTCCACAATGATCCGTAGAGTTGCGATTTGGTCTGTACACGATCTATCCTTACGGAATCTTGCCTGTTTGTCACGAAGTTGGGCGTCTACTCAGTCCTTCATCCTGTTTAACAATACCCTGTTGAAGACTTTTCCCGGTATTGAGAGAAGAGTGATGCCACTGTAGTTATCACAGTTGCTGAGATCGCCTTTCTTTGGTATTTTGATCAGAAGTCCTTCTTCCCAGTTTGTTGGTACTTGTTCCTCATCCCAAATCTTATTGAAGAGAATGTGGAGTATCCTTGCAGTTACCGCTACGTCTGCTTTCAGTGCCTCTGCTGGAATGTTGTCTGGTCCTGCTGCTTTGCCACTCTTGATTTGTCTGATGGCCATGCTGATTTCTTCAATTGTTGGTGGGCCAACATTGATTGGGAGGTCCGTGGGTGCTGCTTCGATGTTGGGTGGGTTCAGTGGAGCTGGTCGATTCAAGAGTTCTTTGAAGTGTTCTACCCACCTGTTTCGTTGCTCTTCAATGTTGGTGATTACCTCGCCTTCCTTGCTTTTCACTGGTCGTTCTGGTTTGCGGCGATTCCCAGAGAGTTTCTTTGTCGTGTCATACAGTTGTCTCATGTTTCCTTCCCTTGCAGCCTTTTCCGCCGTCGTTGCTAAATCTTCCACATATTTACGTTTGTCGGTTCTGATGCTCCTCTTCACTTGTTTGTTTACTTGTGTGTATTCAGCTTGTGCCTTGGCTGTTTCTGCCCTTGTTCGTCTGGTATTGATTGCTGCTTTCTTGTTCCTCCTTTTTTGAATCTTATCCAGTGTATCACCAGTGATCCATTCCTTGTGATGGTGCTTCTTGTGGCTTAGGACCCCATGAAATGTTGAAGTGATTGCCTCTTTGATCCCCTTCCAATTGCTCTCCATAGTAGTTCCTTCTCCATTGAGTAGATCATGAAAGGCCTGGAACTTGTTGCTGAGGACTATCTTGAATTTGTTGAGTTTGTTAGTATCCTGGAGAAAGGCCGTATCGAACTTTTCTGATATTGTCCGCCCCGTTGTCCAGTACTTCTTGAGTTTCAATTTCATCTTGGCGACCAGCAAGTGACGATCTGATGCTATATCAGCTCCTCTCTTGGTTCTCACGTCTTCCATCATCCTCCTGAACTTTTTGTTGATGGTCGATTTGGTTTTGTGTTGTGTGGTCCGGTGAAGTCCATGTGGTTTTGTGTATGCGTTTATGTGGGAATATTGTGCCGCCTATGACCGGTTTATTGAAGCCACATAGGTTTGCAAATCTCTCACCATTTTCGTTCCTTTCTCCCAGTCCGTGTCGTTCCACGATGTCTTCATATCCAGTGTTGTCCGTTCCAACTTTGGCATTGAAATCTCCCATCAGAATGGTCAGGTCCTTTGTTGGGCACTTCTCGATGATTTACTGCAGCCTATTGTAGAATTGATCTTTAGCGTCTTCTTTGTAGTCGTTGGTAGGCGCATAGCATTGGGTGATGTTCGTTGTAATGCCCTCTTTCTTTGTTTTGAAGGAGGCTTTGATGATCCTTGGTCCATGAGATTCCCATCCTATAAGTGCATTTTGCGCTTGTTTGGACAGCATCAATGCAACTCCTTGTGTATGTGGGGCGTTTTCTTCTTCATGGCCGGAGTATATCTGAAGCTCTCCTGAAGTTAGTCGTTGTTGTCCAACTTGCGTCCAATGTGTTTCACTGATCCCAAGCCCCTCTAGGTTGTATCTTCTCATTTCTGCAGCAATTTGGAAGGCTCTCCCGATGTCTCACATTGTACGAACATTCCATGTACCTGAATAAATGGTTGCTCTGGTTGTGAGAAGGGGTATCGGCCTCGTAACTTCCGAAGGAATTCGGTTTTCATCATGAGGCGTCATAATTCTTCTAAAAGAAGACCTTCTGACTCCCAGGGCAGAGTTTAAAAGGTTTGAATAATTTTTTCTGGTTAGCGTTTTTTTAGCGAGTTAGTTTTCTACGGGATGGGGACGCTAACCCCATACTCAACCCTCCTCCTTTATCCAGGCTTGGAACCGGCAGTAGCCCCCGGAGTGACTCCAGGCGGAGTTTACTGAAGATCCTGTGAGGGATTTAAAAAGTCATTTTATAACACATGTTGAACATGTATGGGGTGGTTAATTATGACCAAACGTCTTGTCCAATCCAGTCTAATTGTCATTTTTATAATAAATTGTTTCGGTCTTGAACACTTTTCTGACTAGCTGATAACTTGTTCAAGGTCGTCGATATGTTTTGATTATAGTATTCGGGACCGCTCTTATTTCCTTCCATCCTCATTTTTCGCAATTCCATGTATTTTAGCATGTTAATCACACTCCGGAGTTTAAAACTAGCTGTGGTCGTATTGATGTGTTTTTAGTGTGTAATTAAACCCCTAGTAAGTATTTGTCTCGTAAATGTAAATTTGACTCCATGTAGATGGTTCTCCCTCGTGGTCTACTGAAAATCCACGGTCGTTTCCTCCATATTTATGGCCGTGACATTCCATCCAATATCCCACTGCCCCCATACATCACTAATAAGGTTGACCTGACGCTATCTACAATAGCTGTGCAGAGTGAACGTAATATCAGTGAATGTAAACGAGCAGGTTCAATAATCCGCCAGATATTTAATGATCTTGAAAAGTTTATCAGACCGGGTTTGTCTACTCAAGATATTGATGATTTCGTATTTAATCAGTGTTTGAGTAAGTCAGTCTACCCATCGCCGTTAGGATATAAAGGTTTCCCAAAGTAAGTTTGCTGTTTGTAATTTTTACTTTCCATTCTCAGCTAAATTTCGAACTCCGCTTTCTAACAGCTAGTTTTCATAAATAGTTTGTAACTTGTCAGCATAAATATTCATATTACTTGATGTGGGTTTTGATTATTTTGTATATTGAAAGTAGAAAAGTAATATATTGACGAAAAAGGGTTTCTGTCTCAAGAGATAGTTTATTCAAATGTTTTTCACATGAGAAACTACCTGATACTAGTAAAGGTTTCATTTTTATCTGAGTCTGCATTTTATCGGTTATTTAACAAAATACGGCTACACTAGCTGTTTAATGTAATGTGTTTTCTCTAACACAGGTCGGTCTGCACGTCGGTAAATGAAGTTGTTTGTCATGGAATCCCAAAAGAATCGCAAATATTAAAATTGGGTGACATTATGTCGGTGGATATATCAGTTTATAATGGTTATGTCCATGGTGATGCTTGTCACACCTTTGTAGTTGGTGTGGATAGTTACTCTGATTATTGTGATCTGGAAGCTGGTGCACGGATAAAAACTGCTGTCTACTTGTGCACTGTTGCTCAAAAGTGCCGTGATGCTGGTATCAGTGTTTGCGGCCCAAATGCTCTTTATACATCTATTGCGGAAGCAGTCACGAAATGCGCCGATGCATTTCAGTGCCGGGTTGTGGTAGGCGTATGTGGACATGGAATCGGCCCATTTTTGCATGGACCACCAAAAGTAGTACATTCAATCCATGAGTTAGCTTCCCAACCACTGGCACGTATGCTACCTGGACATACGTTCACCGTTGAACCATGTATTTCTCTTCCTCTCAACAAGTCTGGGGTAAAATTCAAACGGAACACAAGTTTCGCAGTTCCTGTTATCTTGGAAGATGGATGGACAGTGGTCACTAGTGACAAAGCTTTGACAGCTCAGTTTGAACATACCATTTCAATTACAAATGAAGGTTGCATAATACTAACGTGATTTATAGTGTTTTTTTCTTTATCAATGGATTCATTCTGTTGTTGCGTTGTTGAAGTTGATCTATGACTCAATAATATTTATATTTACTGGTACATAGCTTAATTTTACTCATTTGTATTTTACAAGCGATACTCGAAAGTATACTACTTTTGCATACAATTCGCTTCTATGTTAATTTGTGTTTCAACTGTCCTAAAGGAGATTTTTCCACGTATTACTAGTTTGACATTCTACAGATTATCTAGGTATTCCTAACCACTCAAAGTGCATAGTTCACATATATTTGTAATCATTCAAAAAAGGTGGGTCTCTTGTATTTAGCCAGAACGATGAATTTAAAGTGATAATACTGTCTATAATTTTAAAAATATCAAATATAGAGAAATGGTTCGAGAAGCACCAATGGATTAACTCATTAAGAAGTATGAGATGGTGTTAATGCGTACGTTCTGGAGAGAGGGAAATAATGCATCTGAATTTTGATCCATATCACCCATCTCTAAGCATCGGTTATAATCATCAAGCTGAGTCCAGCTAGAGGTATAAACCTCTCCGACCACACGGACCACTCCGATACTGACGTCACTAGTTAGTTCCGCACCTTAGCTTGATCGACCTTAGCTTTCTAGCTCACCTAGTCCAAAAACTCGGTTTAGGCGCTGTCTAAAAATTCGTAATGCATGTCTCAACCAACCTAATCGACAAAGATTCACAACGAATTTGGGGTTTTCGCGTACTTCTCTACATGTGATCTTAGGTCTACTAAACAAAGACACCCATAACTAAATACTAGTAGCCCACACCTATATCTTGCCTTTAAAGACAATGTTTTATAGCCATAGAATAAAACTAAGCTGAGTGCTTTTCAGTACACTCATCCTTTGCTCAGTCATTCATAACCAACGTAGGATATATATAATTTAGCCCCAGCAACCATTACACATGAGATGAATCTAATACGAGAAATGACAAATAATAGTAGTACCACTGGTCGATAAGAAAATTAAATTATACGGTTCGAGAAGAGAGGATGGGTCTAATGAATAAGTATTAAGCAATAACACTGAAGTCCAGGAATTAGCGATGATAACTAGTGAGTTCATGAAATTCATTGTGGCAGGTTTTGAGCCATGTCACTCTACCCTGATTGGGGTTATCGTACGGATCTACATCAGGTAGCCTGTACTTATCATCGCTTCTCCGACCAATTAGTGGATCAATCCATAGAAATGTAGACCAAAGATATGTTTTTTTCATTTATGAAGTATAGTATTTAGTCAATAAATTCACGGCGAGCTGTGAAACTTAGTCAGTTTCTTCTGTTGCGTGCTCCGATTAAGCACTGAATGGTCATGTCGATCATGCAGTCAATAAATGTCCAGTACAATGAATTTTTAGTTCCTGGTTCGTGCTGTTTTTCAATGGTGAAAATACGATTGATGTGGAGCACTCATATCCATGGTTAGATGTTGGATGTGGTAATTATTATATTCCTAAATATATCAGCCATGCCACGAGAAAACGTGTTGTGTCTTCAGATGTAAGTTGATATAACATGCTGCATTCGCCACTCAGAATTCCGGTTGTGATCTTTCTAACCCTCCTCTGCTATTCCAACAGTAGCGTAGCGTCCTTGACTGTCAACGATGATGCATTCTGACGAAGACAGAAAACGTTGAGCAAGCCTAATCTACACTACACCTGGTGGCCTATCTGCAAATTTTAATCTATTCCTATACTTGAGTCTAGAGTTGAGCTTTTATTATATTTAATCACACAGCATAGCAGCCATCTCATATATTCATTAGATTATACACACGAATTTTTAGACCGCTTAGCACACCAAGCAAGAAATCACACTTTGTACACAATCATGTTATAATTAGCAGGGGGTAAAGCAGACAGTAAGTAGTTACTTAGCAATGACTATGGAGTAGTAAAATGTGTGAAAGTATCTAATAGGTCCATTCGAAGCTTATAATAAGTAGAATATGGGGATACACCAATGCAGTTACCTTATTATACAAGAAGAATATAAATAATAATCTGTAGGATGTGAGTTTGTGTGTGACAATGCCGAAGTAGGACTCCGTTTCAAGTAGAATAGGAATTGGTCAGAAACTTAATAATAAATATATTTTCGTGGTATCCCAGTGAGTCAGAAATGCAACTGGCTGTTCATTTGGATACCACGGAAATATATTTATTAATAATCTGTAGGATAGTTCCAAAGCTCCTAAATTTTTAAATACTCGTTTCACAATGACATAAAGATTCTATTCATCAGTACCAACGCAGAAATAGGCTTTTGGAATACCAATCACAAATACGGCGCTGTATAATGCAGTGTAGTTTCTATTCAGTTCTACTGTTCACTGCGTTGCTTACTACCTACAAATCAGTTTATTCCACAATCTTTTACTAAGTCTTGTGGTGTGTAATAAGTCGAAATGCATGCTTTTTAGTCTTTGTCAAAACTGTGTTCGAATACAGCTTCCTCAACAAAAAGATTGTTAACTGGTTTACTAGGTTTCGCCGTACTTCCAAAAGATCAGACATTATACTCTATGGAAATAAAATTCCCTACAGATTTCATCCACAAAATTTCAGTGGAGTATTAAAGACTTTCATACAAATATAAGCACTTAGGTTCATATATATGTATATAACTGAAACAACCTGGGAGACGTTTTTTCACACAGCACACTTGATCAATAATCAATACTTTCAGTAACAGAGGCTTCCTTCTTACACACTTCCAGCTCTTTGGTCTAAGGTTTATCACTTATAACGAAATAAACCAATCGTTCCATTAAAAAAGACGATTCTGCGAGGAAAAATTCCTGTCTTTTCAAATGAAGTTATTTGATAAAGCCCAAGCACCGCACTTATAGTTAATCAGTACGTATAAATCTATAATAAAACAGACGAATATTGAATCATCTAAAAGATGGTTAAATGTGTTTTCCGGTATCTGAAAATTGCATAATCGTGGCTTAAAGAAATTAAATATGGAAAATAGTTGCCAACGAGAAGTATATGAAAAACTAAATATGTAGTGAAATTACGTTAAATTATTTAGAAATATCAAAAGCTGCTGAGTTGAAGACATTTATAAAAGAGAAATGAGAGCTCACTTGGTGAATATTGAGAATAGCGTACTCAGTTTTTGTGACAATAATTCGTTGTTGATTATATAAAAACAACAGAACGTGTAATAGATTATTGAAGGTAGGAGTAGTGTTATAATCACTGTGAGATGAGATATTAGACATGCTGCTTTTGTATACAGACTAGGCTGGAATAAATGAGTTACTAAGTCCTCTGGCGTACATAACTTTCTAGGACATCTTTTTCAACGACATCTTTTGACTTTATAAATGACTCTAAAGAACAATTTTGGAAAAGAAACGTGAACAGAATCTGCGAAGTATTTCAGGATTAAGTTATTAATTGTCTTGGCTAATAATTTAACACTTGGGCAGTCATTTTTTGGAGACCCGCCTCAAAAGGCTTCACTTTGTGTAGCTGAATTAACCTCCTTTATAAGAGTGATTAGGCCTAATGATTTGCAGTACCTCTCTATAAAATATCAAATCAAAGACTGACTCCAGAATATAACACAAAATTCAAGCGGGTAAGGTGTTCCTCACAAGAATCTCGAAAATCTATTTTTTAGAATCCCTTTTTTCAGTATCTTTCTTAAATTCAATCCTTTTTGGAGAATATCTATCTCATTGCAGGCGTTTTTTTCATATTACTATTTCATCTTAAGATTTCTCTTAGTAAGTCCACGTATTTATTTTTTTGAACACAAATATTGGTACAAGAGGGCACCAAATATATATGTGCCACACAAAACAATGAGAATTCGAAGAGAAAAGAAGGCAAGGAGCTAAAAAAAGGAACAACAACGAACAGATTAGTGTAAGGAAGTGTAATAATAATAATAATGGGTGATACGGAAAGGTACAACCAAAAAAATTCTTTCAGTTAAGGAAGATACAACCATTTTTTATGAAGAAAGTAAAAAAAGGTTACAGCAGGATAGCCACTGGCTTCTATTCTGAGCCATATCTGACAACGTCTCTAGCAACTGTATTGCACCATCTCTAGGACCCCAGCCAGCGAGTTGTGAAGGACCAACAGAGGCCAGCCCTTTGCAGCTTTCTTTCATACCATGGCACCATGTCATACACTGACCACATCTCTACTTTTTCCAACCAGTCCCAGCGTCGGCAGATAATGCACGACGTGTAATTCTCTGGGACAACATTCGTAGAATATTTCCAAGTCACTGAAGTCGATGTTTCCAGATGGTGACACACGATGCCGAACCTCTGCATTACTAACATGGTGTTGCCGCTGGATGTCAGGAATCCTTCGGAGACAGCGATCAAACACAGAGAGTCGTGTAACATCCTCAACTCGGAGAGGCCAGGTTTCGCAAGCATAGAGCAAAACTGCTCTCACCGACGCGTTTTAGATTCGAACTTTTACAACCAGACTAACATCACGAAGGCTCCAGAGATGGCCCAAATTGGCATAAGCCGCTCTGGCTTTCGCCATAAGTGCATTGATCTCATCACTCACACCACGACCAGCACTTATGCAGCTACCCAGATACACGAACTTCTCGACTACTTCTATCTGCTCACCATCCAGGGTGAGTACAGGATTAGAATCCTGCCAGTCTTGTAGAAGTACTTTGCACTTCGAAGGTGCGATGCACATGCCGTACCTACAGACACTGATTACCAGCTGATTAAGTGCGGGTTGCATGACTTGGGCATTATCGCACAGTAAGACAATATCATCCGCGTACTCAAGGTCGAGAAGTCTTTCTCACTCTGCCTGAGGTGTTTGCATATAGGGCCTTTAGGATATTAATAAACTTCTCAGGCACACTCTTCTTCATTAGACAATCCCAGAGAACAGCCCTGTCCAAGGAGTCGAAGGCAGCCCTGATGTAAAGAAACACAACGATTATTGGCCGGTGTTAAGTATGACGGTGTTCTAACATTTGGCGGAGGCTGAAGATATGATCAATACATTCTCGACAAGAACGAAAACCAGCCCGCTCCTCGCGAGTCAATTTTTCTCGGGTTTTGAACAACCTACGAAGTATGACGGAAGCCAATAGCTTGGACGCAATCGGAAGTAGACCTATCCCCCGATAGTTGTTACAGAAACGAAGTGAACGCTTTTTAAAGATAGGGACAACTATCAACTCATCCCATGACGTTGGTACGCTCTCTAGATCCCAGACCCTTGCAAACAACTCAGTCAGTTCCTTAGCCAGAAAGTCACCACCATCTTTAAAAAGAGCCGGAGGAAAGTCATCTGGACCCGGTGATTTTTAGCTCCTCAAGAGTTGGAGTTCCTTGTGGGCTTCCGCCTTATTTGGTGGATCAGTCGTCACCGGCCATGGAGGGCAGGACAGTTTGACCGATGTTGCCGGAGCAGCAGGCCAGTTGAACTGCCCTTCGAAGAATTCTGCCCATCGTCCAAGACGTCGACGGATGTTAGTGGTTGGTATCCCGTCATTCTCACAGATAATTTCGCTGACAGCAGACTTCTTGCTGCCAGTGGCTCAGATGAGTTGGAAGGGCTTCCAGTAGTTACCACATGCAGCTGCTGCTTCCAGGCTTCTCGGTCCTTACGCAAGCTTTTTCCAATTTCGCTACGTAACAACCTTCGTTTGTGGTCAAACTCACGGTTACCCGGAGTAGATCGACGGGCTTTGATGAGTTGTAAGGAACCTGAAGAAACCCAGTGCTTATAAACAGGACGTTTTGCGATGCCACAGGCGGCTTTACTCGCCATTTTGTAGGCGTCGTGAAGTTGCAACCAATGCTCATCTATACTTTTCGGTGGAATGTTAGCTAGCCTAGATGCTAGCTCGGTTCGATACGTACTTGCAACGGAAGTTGCAACCAACTTGCTGACATCAATCCGTTGGTGGCGGTCACTTCGTTAGCCACTGAAAAGTAAGGTAAGATAGGCGTAGACCAGGTCATTATCAGAGTCCAGATAGGTACTCCAAAAGCAGTTGCAGTCTTGTACACAACCACGCCAGCGGTAGCTGATCGCGATGTGATCAGTCTGAGTCCAGGCTTGGGATGCAGAGGTAGGATGCCAGGTGGCACGTCGGCGATGACTGTGCCGGAAGTTAGTGCTAGCCAGAAACAGGTAATGATCTATGCACAGTTGCAGTAGACGGTCCCCGTTATCTTTTCTGCGACCAACAAGTCCCCACCGGTCACCTAAACGACTCTCTTCTGTGCCTAGACGCTCGACCTGAGCACTTAAGTCTCCGTCTGGTACTACAATATCTGTCGAACGCACTTTCTGGAGAAGAACAGATAACTGGTGGTAGAATTCATCCTTGATTTCATCCGGGCTGCAATCTGTCGGGGCAAAGGCGGAGATGACGAAAAGACATCGTTTCTCACGCCGATTTCTTCTCACTTTGATGGAACTTTCCAATCTAAAAGCACATAACCGACTGTTAATGGGGGTCCAGTCGATTAGTTCTGCCTCAGCTCTGGCGCTTAGTCCGACACTAACGCCAGCAAGACCAGACGAAGATGCCACAGGGTCCCCCGATAAATGCACGTAAAACAAGCTTTTTGAAGCGACAGACGGAGAGCGAATTTGCAGTACTTCACCAAATTCTTGAATACGGGTCTCGGATAGACAACAAACGTCAATATTAAGACTTCCCAAAGACCATAGTTAGCCCTATCTGTTGTCCGACCTGCATAAGTGTGCGAACGTTGAAGGCAGCCAGTTTGAATGGTGCATGTTGTTTCAGAAAAACTGCTTCAGTATTCGTATTTGGTGGTAGCATACTATTTTCAACCGGGCAGTGACTCGAGAACGTTTGGATAGAACCAAGTTTCCACCATAGGCGAGCTGCTGTATAAGTCGAAAAATAAGGATACACAGAGTGGGAATAAAAGAGAGTGAATAAATGACGTAAATAATAATAATAACAATAATAGTAATAATAATAATAATGCAAATCGTTTGATTGTTAATGGAAGCAAGACAAGTATTTTCCATAAATATCGACATTCCATTATATTTGTGTGTGGGCTGTGATACTGCCCGGGTGCCCAGACAGAAGCAGGTGATTTTCTTAGGGGGCCACACCTCGAGCCTTCGACCTTAAGGTTTGACCCACAAGACAGTGGAGCATCGTGAGGAGATGCAGTCCCACAGTAACCAGTGGCCAGCGATCGGTTCATACGCCATTTGTTCCCGCAGTATACTGGAGCCCATGTACACCATTGGTTTGGGATCTGGTTAAAGCGACGGACACTAGGTTTTCGTCCTCTCATTTTTGTAAACTAAATCTACGTGGATAACCACTATTGGTAAGTATCTGCTAGAACTGCATTAGTTTGACGAAGATTGTGTCGTCAGTATCAGTTATTCTGAATTAAAGTGAGTCAGTTTCCCTTTTCTGCCCAATGGAAGCCAGCTTTAAAAATTAGTGTACCAACTGTTTCACTTTGGCTCGGGATAACCGATGGAAATGGTTTAAGTTGTTTAAAGAGATCGTGACTAATGACTGAAACATCTGTCATCTTTTACGGAACATTTGTCAGGCTTTATTTAGTCTGTTTAGTCGTATATTTTGAGTACTGTCTTTAGAAAACTTGGCTATCTGATAGCACGAAAAAAGTTTTGTGATGTGTTCTAGACGATTATAATTAAACCAACACATTTATCTGGTCGACTGATAACCAGGTGTTTAGTTCTCACAGTATCAGATAATTGGGTTTCGTGTTCATTTGAAATTAGGCGTCTACTTGTTGGCCTTTTATTTACATATTGATTTCAGTAGCACACAATGGTAATTTTAAATTCTTCAAGATGCTTGTTTGGATAAGATTGTCTGTTCAGTGAATTAAATGTACGCACTGGATTTCACCGTTGCGTTCGGTGGCTTGTCAAGATGTCTCAAAACTTTTTTCAATATACGTCTATATAGAGGACGATAATTTTGGTAGGTTTGGTTGTGACAAACCGTTTTCCTCTCTATTTCATGTGCATGAGGCTAAAATAAGTTGATAGTCAAAGACTTACTTGTCTGATAGTAAATAATGAGCTATTAGAGAGCCTTGAAGAACGTTTAATTTTGTTCATGAGGCGCTGGTAGGGTTATATGAATTGCAAAGTATTTCAAAATGATGCTTCAGTATTCCCCATGGATTAATAAATGAATGTTATAACTAGTGAAGAGCTTGTATTTTCTGGCAAAGACAGATAATAAAGTTTCCACATGCAAGGTCTTACACATTAGGCAACAAATTACTACTCGTCGTCCGACACTTTTTATAAAATTCGTTGATCAAAGAGTTCGTCATCAAACTGAATTTATACTAGAAAAAAGATAAGAAAATATGGACAAATACATTCTCTATCATCCTGATGATAGGTGCGCCTATTCAAAGTGGTAGACTTGAGATGTTTGTCATAGACCAACCCTTTTGGCGCTGTACACACTATGTTTCAGTCATACTACTAATCTTAGTATTATTGTCAATCTATGAACAGAACAGGTTTATTTATTACAAAGACATACCAAAAAACATAATCTTGAAAATCTACACTGTTTCTTTAAGTGTTGTTTTAGAACTCATAGATTACCTATCATTTTTAGTACAGCACCAAAAAATAAACAGTTTCTGTTGTTTTACATAACCATCTTAATAAAATATTTACCATCGAACTTCATTATATTGTGGTGAATCTGTACCCACTGGCCTCCACTTTTATAACTACCCTGAATTCCGAATGTTTAACAGGTGGTGCACTGAAAATAAATTCAAAAACATGGTGAATATGTAGTTACCGTATTTCGTGACAAAGAAGCTGAGTCTTTTGAGCAAGTCCAAAATGGGATAGTCAACTTCAACCTAACTATACTTATGAGTGATAGATTAAGTAGTAAATTTAACAAGTGACTGAATATCAAGATAACTAATTCTTTCTTATTATTTCACCCTAACTACAACTGAAATTATGCGAATCTCGTGTTCAAATAAACTTATTTAGACAGCATTTCTAAAACCATTTCTCTGGAAAATCTTGACTCAATATTCTTCTTCTGGGTTCAGGCAAGAGGGTTGGTCCAAATAATCTTATACGATAATAAATCAATTTCGCGTCAATGGGCACGTAAACGTATACCGTATTTAAAAGGTGGTTTTAATGACCTTGATAACTCAGCAGTTCAGTAAAACAAAACAACGTGTGTGAAACTATCTGCTTTTTTGTACACACGTATTTTCTTCTTCGTTTTTAGTTCATTTGAGCGTCAAAGGTTTTCACTATTACTTAAAAAATCTTGCTAGTTTAACAGCTTTTTATCTGATTGGTTACTGGTAGACACTAAAGTTATGTGTATTTTCAGCACCACTCTATCCTTAATACTATACTGACATGTTTTTAAACATTGATAATTACAGTCATTTGTAACTATTGTTGTTAACTACCATTTCGAATGTCATATTCTAACATAAATAATCCTACCTTGTCGCGCTCTTTTGAGTCTACTAATGACAACTTTCGCTCAAGATCAAACTCTCCGGCGCATACTATTAGAAGCAAGACTGGTAGCGCGTTTATTCAAGATAGTCATAGCATTAGTAGTACAAAGAGCGTCAAATCATACCCTAGGAAAGGAACAACACTTGCGAATGCTAATCTTACTGTTGAAGAACAAAATCATTTGGAAGAAGTGCTTTCACGCTTCGATAAATTTCGGCAAATCGAAGACAAACGTGTGAGGTAGGTATACTTTTTTAAAATCCCTTGGTTTTTATCAGCTTTATTATCACTAAACCAGTCTTGGTGATGTATCCATTCTACATTTTACGTTTATTTATTCCTCAAGATAAAAATGGTTTTACATATTGATGTAAAATATTTAACGAATTGATTGGTTCACTGTCTATTCGTGTAAACTTTCTGTGATATCCATGGTTTTAGGCTGAAGGCATTTTTTATTTAGTTTATCTAATTTTATTTCATATTTCTAGCAGCACAATGACCGTAACAATTCGCTGACCATCATGTAATAATCACCTTGACATTTTCCATTATTTCTTGAAGATAAATTTTATCATACATTTGGTGTAATTTTCTTCTATGTTATGTCGAAAGGTTCGTATTTCAGAATAATAAACGCAGAAGCCGATAGATGATAGATCATTCTAGATTGTCAACAGATTTAAATTTTAATTATTGGTACAATTCCAGTTTATATGATTCACGTTGGGAACTATTTGAAATCCATGAAATCCCCACTTTTCATAGATGAAGTGTTGTTAATCGCGTTAAATATAACAACAACATATTCAACCAATTATCTAGGTTGACAAATAAAATTCATTTTATTTACCATTTATCGCCAACAAAATATGATGTTGTTTATTAATGATCCTCGGTCACTTGTCATACTATCAAGGTGTTTTTCTAGTTAAAATAAATTCATCTTTGAGCTAATCATTTTATTTTAGCTGTTAGTTCGACCTGTTTATTCACGAGGTTCGTAATATTCAAAAACTATTTGATTTTGACCTTGTGTAGAAGTGACAGCTAAATTCGAAATTATTTCGAAGAACAGACCTTATCAAATATAATTAGGCATGACAGTGGAATCAAGCACTTACTCTAATCCAACCGTTTTATGTTTATTTTATTGTCTAAAATTTATATTAGTTATCTAAGAGATATTAAGTCTTGATCAAAGCGCCTTTGAAGAGATCATTAAGATTATTTCTTAATGAACAGATCCGTGTATCGAAAAGGATAGCAGCCTATTAATAATCCATATGAAGAGATTTAAGGAAACTGAGTATTTGTAAGGGCAAATGGAAGATAATGAAAAAACTAGTAGTTAACCAAAAAACGATGTCAAAGTAGGCACACGCTACATGAACTGCTTTCACAGTGTTTCACTTTTTAAAGTTTGAATATATTACTGTCACAATATTGATTTATTGTACATTTTTATACAATTTAGCTCTTTCACTAAATGACATACATCAATCAATTACCCATTATCTATCCCGGTTTTGATACACTACTCGATTTGCCTTTTATTTTTGTTAAAGAAAGAAAATATATATAATTTACAAAATGAAGTAAATCTATGAGATTTTTCTATTCCTATTCTGTAACAATTAGGCTGTATTTTGGACATCGTTTATTTGAGTTCTGATAAAACCAACGTTTTCTTCTAACTTTACTGAACATCTCAATAATTCAAAAATTGCTTATCATTAAATAGTGTCTCGTATAAATTAAAATGAATAAATGTCTATGTATTATCACCTTACGGTTTTACTAAAGGTTATCAGGAAACGTTATTATTTTGGGAGATAGAAATTTAGTCCAGTTGTCAATTAAAAGGATATTGAGTAAGATGTTAGGTTACGTTAAGGAATGTAAAAAGTTAATAGAGTCTGTCTTATTCTGCTATAAAACACCATGAAAGAGTGTTGCAACTAAAAATGAAAATTATAGAGGTTAATTTGTCAGTATCACTTTTAAGTTGATAAGATAATTGCAGCAGTAAAATAAAGTATGACTCAATCAGTTGGGTATTAATTTTCAAATAAAAAGTTCAGAAATAAAGTTAGTACATGGTTAGTTTGAAAATACTTTTTTTATTAGCGCTAATTCTGTAAAATTACTCTTTTGGTGTTCAATAGCATTCAGTGAATCTCAAAGTTTGCATATTTGTCAGCTTAAGTATTGGACAAAACACACCGACCACTGAATTCATTTATATTTTAGACTCCTTGACATCAAAATAACATAAACGCACACCCCTGGTTTGTTCATATTTTGATAAAAAGTTTTACGGGATAAAGTTTTTTCGAAGTTATCGTCCAACTTTTTCGTTTATTCAACTATTTTTACATTTATGGCTCACGTAACGGACTAGCTATAGTTAGGCAACCATTAAAAAATTAGGCAGTGTTTGAAAACTTTTAGCCCATTAAAGGAATCCTCATTAGTGTGCATTCGCAAACTGAAGACCGAACTTAGGATTTCTTGGTCTCATAGCATGCTCCTAAACATTTAGACTAAGGAATCGGGACCAAATGATTCACATCCCTAACTTTGACTAGTTCTATTTTGCTTCACTAGTTATTTAACTCATTAATATGCATAAGATATTTAAAGGTCGGTAATCCCAACCGATGGCTAAATTTATTATTACTTGCAGCTGTGTAACTGGCTTCATTATGCCGAAGATGATCGCGTTTAAAAGTAAACATTAATACTTCTGTACTAGCAATATTACCACCATTACTATTGTTAATTTTCATATCAATATAAGGAGTTATTAGACAACAATATATCTGGATTTTTTAATAAAGTCATAGGAACTTAAGGTAGTAAAATCTCATCTAAGTTTTAGATTGTTTTCAGTATGCATTCGTCTCTATTTTATATTTTTACATTCGTGAATGTATCTTTCCGATCTCTTATTAACGTTTGACTTTTATCCAAGTTTATAGGATATTTAAAATGTTCGATTAACTTGTGGTGTCTTTTTTAATGACACAACAATTTTCTATCTTATTACAGGCTACTATGCGTAAAATAACCATAAATATGATCACACAGTTTAATAAATGATGTCTTCGAAAATGAAACTTTATTCGCTGAACTATTTTTATTTTGTTTGATGACTCCATAGGTTTCTAGTGTATTAATTGTAAACTGAAATTAAAACGAGTAAACTCGGACTAAATATTTTCAATAAGTGGATATTTTCCAACAGAAATAATTGTACCTTTGGGGGTAAAATTTTGCTATACAATAAATTCAAATTGTTATAGGTCGATGCACGCAACTGGCTAGTGATATTCGAGCCTGATTTACTTCTCATTAATATTGTAAGTTTAGACAACCATATTGGATGTTTGAATTTAGGTAAGGTTTGAAGGACTAGATCACTTTTACAGATATACAATGATTAAGTACCGACAACTGATGTGATTTACAATTTTCGTTTAATTATTGGATACTGTTTAATAATTTACTTTTCAATTGCATAGATATTTAATTCGATAAAATTTAGGTAATTAACCTTATTCAACATACTTGGTTTGGATTAGGAGGTATCGGTTAGTGATTATAATGGTCTAGTGTATATTAAAGATTTTGTAAGATTATTAAGTAGAATTAACTTTTCTAACTGAATTACAATTGGATATTTCAATAAGTTGAGCGCACACACGTCAAATGCGCTTACTAAAATTATGTTTTCCTTCCTTTATATACACCTGGAAATATCGATATTCATCCAAGCATATGAGAACGTTTGATTCTATAAGTATTTTAGTTCCATGTTTTTGTTGTTGCATTTTACATTAATTATTGTATGAAAGTGATATACTAAAAAATTGTCATTCGGTAGGAAATATACTTTTTATGATTTAAGATAGCAGCACTAATTACGGTAATGATGGAAATTATTATTCTTGTGACCAATGAATTACGGAAATTTCTTTTCTAGTAAGTTATATATATATATATATATATATATATATATATATATATATATATATATATATATATATATATATATATATACGGTGTATTTACTGTCTAAAATACTATTACATACAATCTTTTATACATCAAAAGTTTGTAACAAAAAATTGTTTCTTCTGCAACTTTTCTATTCTCAAGTCACAGTTAATATGTCATAATTATTGGGTAAGTCATCTAGGGTAGGTAAAATGCAAGTATGTTAATTCATAAACAGATTAACTAAAGCAGAAATGAAGTATTTAAGTGATAGATTTCATCACTAGGATTGAATAATCCATTCAGCTTGAAACTGGAGATTGTCCAAACTAATGGTGATTTATTTGATTACGTAATTAATAAATCACTACTGAATGTGATACTTATTGGTATAACTAGATGATTCCTCTTTCGACGTTTTTAAAATGTAGTCCTTTCAACTTCAAGTAAGTGTGTTCATTCTGTTATCAGTATGACTTTCTTGTCGTTAACTTTTAACTTAAGAAATAAATTCTCTAAACTGATGTCTAACAAAATACAAGGATATAATAGATGTGTTTGTACATGTTAGTTAGTCTACGAAATACAGTATTGTGATGGCTACAGTCTAGTTGAGGTTGTTCTGAGTGCATAACATAAGTAAGCTAGCTAGTCATTACCATAAATTGAAAATATAGAATTTCGCACCGACCGTGTCTTAAATACGAACAAAATGCATTATTAGTAAATTTAGAAAAAAGTCATACAAGAAGAGATAAAAAACTTTTATGCCTGGTGATGAGTTTTAATCAGTAGGTTAAAATTATACATAAAAAATCAATACAAAAGAAGAATCGTTTTGTTTTGGCTACCGTGATTATAATTATAATAATAACAATAATTACTAGTAAAAGTTAACTGCAAAATTATAAATACGAATGTATTATTCGGAACAGGAATATCTAATAGGAAGGAGTACAAATCTATTGATAGTTATTTTAATAAATTTATTAGATCATCATAATGTTATATGACTTGCTATATCACCTTCGAAACATACTTAAGAGTAGAGTCTTCTTTTTGACTGTGACAGTTTGTGTCTTGCTTTTAAACTGGGGTACATAATTTTTTGTAGAATTAATAGGGTATCCATTTTGCATCGGATAGTAGTTACAAAGTGGATATTAATCGTGTGTTTGGGTAGATACCTATTCAGTTTCTCTGTTGAAATTGATATCGCTATGTTCCTTTCTTACGGT